CCCTAGAACCCTAAACCTCTAAACCCCTAGACCCCAAAACCCCTAAACCCTGAACCCTAAACCCTAAACCCTAAACCCCTAAACCTTATAAACCCTATTCTAGTACATTGGGGGGGGGGGGGGTGGAAGGCAGTGGAAGGGCCACAGGGTCCGACTTCCTCTCGCAACTCGGACTCTGGCAGATGTGATCCGAGCCAGGGCTTCAGGCTTAGGGCTTATAGGGCCTATAGGGCTTAGGGTTTAGGGTTTTGGGTTTAGGGCTTATAGGGCCTATAGGGCCTATAGAGGGCTTAGGGCTTATAGGGTTTAGGGCTTAGGGCTTACGGCTTAGAGTTTAGGGTTCAGGGCTTCGGGTGTAGAGTTCAGCGTTTGGCCTTAGGAAACGGATGTTTCTGGTAAGTAGAGGCTCCCAAACCCTGAACGCGAAGTCCGACGACCTAAACCCAAAACCCCCAACCTCAGACTCTACATCGTGCACCAAGGCCCAGGACACAATTCAGGTAAGAGGCAATGTGCACGGTCCTCGGGTTGGGTCGGGGGTTTATCGCTTCAGGGGCGTGGCTTCGCATGTTGCGGTATGGAGCTGGAGATCTACACTTCAGGAAAGTGCAGTGGGTGGAATAGGAGTATAGGGACTTTGTATAATGATATGGAGACTAGAAGGGCATGCTATTCCTACATTAAAAAAGGTCGACCCTAGGCAATAGACTGATGTTTGGCTTCGGTCTGAGATCCAGGTGCTTGAAGGTCCTGACTGGGCTTGGGCCCGCCCCGCAAAATCAAAGGGAAAAGTATATGTCGCAACGCTCACTTTGCCTATGATCTCCGTTGTAGTTCCTTTCCTTGCCTAAATATACCTGGACCCTATTGTAGCCCTTGTGACTTGGTTAGCACCCGAACAGAACTATAATGGAGGCTATAGGCACATTAGCTTGCACTTGGGACAAGGACTAAACCCGAAATCGGAAGCATGGACCTGTCAACATCCACTAGCCCGGGTGCATTCGCCTATGATTACAGAAAGCCCTGAAATAAACACAAAACTGAAATTCCAAAGATTCGAGCCCGAAACTCAGAATCTTGAACCCTGGCGCACGAACCCCTCCAACGTTCGTATTTTCGAGCCAGAGAACCTTTTCTGAACAACCCACAGTGTCGCCTGATTCTTTACGAATGCCGCTACTATTTGGTAATATGCCAAAGCTCCAAGCCGAAATCCTGATCCCCACCCCTAAGCATCCTAAACCCCAATCCGCAAGCCGGTGATTCTCAAGCAGTTTATAAACCAAGCCATGCTCGCTTTGAAAGACGCCTCATAAGCCCCTAAACCCTAAACCCTAAACCCTAAACCCTAAGCCCTCTTTACAGACTTCGGTTTTTTTTTCAAGCACCTTTTTCCCTCTGCAGTTAGCGGTCGGAGAGCCTCAGGAGGACTTCGGGTTTAGGGTTCAGGGCTTTGGGTTTTTGGTCTCCAAACCCTGGGCTTCCAAGGACCATATAGTTAGGACCCTAGACCCCTTAAGGACCCAATAATGAGGTCCCTGGAAGTTTAGGGAAACCAAAAAACCGCGTACATCGTGCTAGTTTTTGGACTCAGGTGGTAGGCTTGACATGGGGATTTCCGAAAATAGGGGACCCTATAGTACCCTAAATAATAGGACCCTTATTAGAAGGACCCCAAAATAAGGTACCCCTAATTGTCGGAAACTCCCACATTGTTAAGGTGTTCGGGGCCACCAAAGACACTCTTGGATACTTGGAGTCCCGGGGTTTTTGTTGAGGTTTAGACCTAAGAAAGGTTGTTTACTTGTCCAAATTTTCTGGGATAGCAAAGGTTAACCTTTGGGGTGTATATAGAGGTTCTAGTATCCCCACGGAGACGGCTCCAACAACAAGTTAGGGGCCTTCGTAATTAGAATAGGGTTCTTGCGCCCATTATACTATACTTATAAACGGAATCCCCAAAAGAGTATTGGGCATTCTTTAGGCCCCTAAACCCTAAACCCTAAACCCAGTAAGTTCGGGTCTGAGTGCCGCATAGGCTCGGACCCTCTTTACCCAGCGCCATGCCAGAGGAGACAGAGAGCATCAGACCCAGCACCTCTGAAATGGGTAGTATAGGGGCCTAAAATAGGGTTTAGGGTTTAGGGTTTAGGGTGTAGGGGTTTAGGGTTTAGGGTTTAAGGTTTAGGGTATTAATTACCGATGCTATTTTAAGGGTTCCTGACTATAAGTATAGTAGGGTGTGCCCCAAAATCGTATTCGAATTCTTAAGGCCCCGACAGTGTAGGATTTCTGAACGGAAGCTTGGGGTGCCAGGGGTTCAGGGAGCGGACATCCAGGAAGGACAGCTTCTCAAAGTGCGCCAGACAGGGTTTGGGGCTTATTTTAAAGGAAACTACAGGTGGGGAGTTTAGGGTATATAGGGCTTCTATAAGGCTTCCATAATGTATATAGACCTTCTATAGGGCTCCTATGGCTCCTATAACGGTAACTACCCATCTGAAAATGTCCTAGATTGTTAGAGCCACACCTAAGGATTTGACCCCGAGGATCAGAATCGGCAAGTCGTAGGTAGTCACATCGGGGTCGAAGTACATACGAGTTCAATACTCGGACACAAAGGGTTACAGCACAAAACATGAATCCACCTAAAGATCCTGAATCCTCAACCATGTTCATGATCATAAAAACCTGGAAAAGCCAAAATCCACCACAAGACCCATGAAGGGGGAAGACCCTCAAATGTGGATCCAACCCGCCACACCCTGTTCAGGGCTTTGGGATATCTGACTTCAGGGCTGCTTGATGTAGTAGGGCTGTTGAACGTACGGTGGGGTCCCGTGGTTCAGGAAGCACAACTCCTGTCAACGCCAGGCCTTCACAATGAGAGTTCGGAAGGACAGCACATCTTTCCTTGGCTCCGCCAAGGCTAGTCCTTCGATTCCGAAGAGCTACTGTATGCCTCTTAGGACAGGCCAACAACTGCGATCTCAGGCTTGGTGAGTTTGGGAGCCATGCTTCCAACAGAGTCCAACTTCTCCAAAGTGACTGCCACCACGAAGATTCCGTAGCCTTTTCGACATCCCTAAACATCTATGTGAAATCACCCACGTGTCCGCAGAGGCTACAGATTCCCAACGCCCAACGCCCCCTTGCCCACCAAAACCCCACACCCTAAAATGATCCAAAGTAGTCGGATCCTTGTTCACCGATTTCTATCAAGCCCTAATTACCATCAACTCCTGACTGCAACCCCTGAACCGTGAAACCCTTCATAATACAAACCCTACTGGACCCTAATATAGGGCCTGTATAATTAGAATAGGGTTTTGGAGTATATTATACTATAAGACTAATAGGGAACCGCCAAAACAGTATAGGTAATTATGTAGGATCCTACATTAAGCACTCCTCCGTCCCTCCCCCCGTCTCAAAAGAAGCCATAGGAATGCGAGAGTCATGACGAATCCTCCGAGGATGGTCTTCCTGGGAAGGCGGGCGCACAGCAGTTTGCTTGTGCACTTTGGCTTTCGAAGTTTCAGGTTCTGCATCTCTTGTTTTAGGGTTTAGGGTTTATGTGTTTTTTCTTGTTTTAGGGTTTAGGTGCCTTTCTTGTTTTAGGGTTTAGGGTCTAGGTGTATTTTCTTGTTTTAGGGTTTAGGGTTTAGGTGTTTTTTCTTGTGTTATTCACATGTTTGTTTGAGGAGGGTCTTTGAAGGATCGAAGCTGCTTCCTGCATTTGGGGGGCTCGGGGTTTAACCAGAACCCTGTTCAAATCATTGAGGCCCTTATAATCATATCGCTACTTATTCCAATCCTTATCTTAGAGCCATCCCACGCTTGCCTTGGCTATGTAGTTTCAGAAGGCTCGGGTTTAGGGTGGCGGCTGTCAAGGAAGCTTCTGGAAGTGTGGAAGGTATGTAGAGGAGGCTCGCGGGTTTTGCTATCTTGTTCAAAGACCACACGGCCACAAGAGGATAACCAGAAATAGCATTCATTCGGCCCTTATTTGGGGTAAATTAAAGGCGGTTCCGTAACTCGGACCCAAAAGCGCAACTCCTTGTGGCATTAGCATTCGGGGCTTTCGGTTACGGACGGGGGTTTCGACATCTTTTCGGACTCTAGATGCTTTTAAGACCACAAACCTCGCGTGAGCTGTCTCAGTCTCTTCTTTCCGGACCAGGACATGGGCATATAAGACACACATACCGACACATACCGGCCTGGAGCACGAAACCCCGCAATTAGGAAGTTGTGCTCCACACACATTAGGGCGTAATTTGATTAGGGAACTTAGGAATACTTGTTCTGAAAAGCAAGATCCTGAGTATGGGGAACTCACCTGTGGGACATCGTGGGATCGTGGAGTTTAGTGACACGCATTACTGAAAGATATCATAGGTCTTGTTGGGGATGGTGGTTCTCAGTGAAGGGTGGGATACTGTACGGCAAAACCTCAACGCCTAAACCCACATGCCCTCAAAAAACTAACATAAGCAGATTGTTAGCAGTAGGGGGCTCAGAAACTCTAAACCCGAAGCCCCACGTCCCTAAGCCCTAAATTAATCTCCGAACCGAGAATCACTTCCGGGATGCCGCTGCCACGTGCGGTCGGTGCGAAAACCTGCTGCGTCCACAGGTTTAGGGTGTAGGGTTTAGGGGTTCAGGGGGTGTTTAGGGGTTGGGGTCTTAGATTTGTTTGGGGTTTATTTGGAGTTTCGGGCCCATGAAGGACTTCATTCTACATGCTGCCTTCAGCACATGCTGACTGACAGCTGCAGGGTTTCAGATGTATAGGTGGCTTGCTCCCAAAACTCTGTTGACAAGTTACGGAACTGCGCATTCCTCGCCAATCTGTATGAACTGACATTGCGGCATAGGACCGTAGGTGACGACAGTTCAACCCTCGGCCAATCATGATTGGGGGCTTGTAGGGAGAGGCCGCAGAGCTCTCTGTTTATCTCATGTCGTTTCTTCTCACATCAAGTTTTAGATGAACGTATCTATCTATCTATCTATCTATCTATCTATCTATCTATCTATATATACACATATATATATATGTATTAATATATACATATAAACGGATTCATTCATGCACATAGAAACACAAACATAAATACAGACACGACGAAAAATCTGTCCAAGTTTCTGTTGTAGAAGTCTCCCGACCCTTGAAAGAGCCCCAAAAGCCATACCGCTAAGTTCCCACATCCCGCCTTCACCAGCATCGCGGAGGCGGTAGCAAACAGAATGCCGACCGCGGCGTAGGCAAAAAATCCGCGGAAATTTGCCTCGAGCGTCTACCACTACAAATAGTAGCGACAGCACCGGCAATCGCAACGACAGCAGCAAGAACAGCCACGACAAGCACTGCGAACAACCACAACGACAGAAACTAAGAAGAAGAACAACACAAACCAAGCGCAGTAGCAGTAGGAACCGTAGTGGCAGCCGCAGCGACGGCCGCAAAAACAGAAGTAGAAATAGAAGTAGAACTATAGTAGTAGTAGTAGTAGTAGTAGTAGTAGTAGTAGTAGTAGTAGTAGTAGTAGAGTACTAGTAGTAGTGGCAATAGTAATAGTAATAGTAACAGTGTGGCAGTATCTAGTGATCGTGATAGTGTTAGTTAGTGTTAGCGATAGTCATAGTAACAGTGACAGTGGCAGTGGCAGTGGTAGAAATAGATACAGCAATAGCAATGACAATAAGGATGGCAATAGCCATGTAGTGGTAACAGTAACAATCGTAGTACTAATTTTCAAAAACTTATTTCTAATGGTAACAGCAGTAGCAACAGCACTATTAATAGCAACAGTCATAGTAATTGTAATTGTGATAGCGCGAGTATCGGTAATGGAAACTGTCAAAAGGGCAATAACAGACGCTCTAATATTAGAAAGAAATAACTATCAGTAGTAGGTAAAAAACCAAAAAGTAAAAAGTAAGTGTAATTGGATTATAGCAATAGTAACAATAGTAGTAGCCATAGGAAAAGGAATAGCACTACCAAAGGCAATGGCAATATCAGTAACAAGAGCAATAGCACTAGCAACAGTAGTAACCTTGCCTGGCTTTGCCCGAGTGTGATTGCCAAAAATAATTGCAGCAGCAATAGGAATAGCAAATGTAATAGCAATGGTAGTAGTTCTTGTGAAAATAACAGCAGCAACAGAATCAATAGTAATGCTCAAAGTAATAATCATAGTAAGCGTAAGGGTAATGATAGTGAGAGTGGCAAGAACTACGGCAACGATGGTTGTTGTGGTTGTTGTTGTGGTTGTTATCGCCGCCGCTGCCGTTGCGAGTATTGTTCAGGGTGGTGGTGTGGGTGGTGCATGCATTTCTGCCACCTTGACGAGGTGGCTGAGGCGCATCGACTGGGAAGGCCCCGGCACGGTTTCGGTGTCGACTTTAGAGGGTCTTTAGGGTCTGTGATTTTCATGACCTTGACCATAAACCCGTGTAGCTTGAGGGTTTCGGGCTTCCGGCTTCCGGGTTGTGTTTGCTGTAGTGTTCGACTTCGGCTCACCATCGGAGTTTGCAAAGGTCTTCACCAGCATTGTCAGCCCGTCGGCTGGAAATTTTGCGCCTGAAGGCGATAATTTTTGTAGCACGTGTTTTCGCTTTTGTTTGGGTTTAGGCCGTTGTTTGGTCCTGTAGAGTTCTCCCATGTGACAGCTTTGGTGGCAACAGGACAATTAGATCTTCGGGTGTACGATAACAGGGTTTTCATGAGACAGTCAGAGTGAGGCTTCGAACAGTCACTACAGGCTCACACCAAGCACAACCCTTCCAAATCCTCTTGATGGCTTCTGAAGCCTATCAGGTACACCGAAATGTCTTTCGATGCGTGTTCTTCCCATGCCCCAAAGTATGCTACCCTTCACTTTTGGCGTGAGAATTTATGTTGCAATAGGGTTTTCCGTCCTTGTGATGACACAGTGCAGCCTCTGCAGCTTCCCATCCAGGCATGAAGGGCCGGGAAGGCGACAAGGTGATGAGCAGCGACTTCGCGATGCCTTCCGGATCGTTGTTGGAGATAATATCTCGAGTGCTTGCGGCCAGCGAGGCAATAGGGTTTCCAGGCCCCCAAAAGACTCGGCTAGAAGCTTAAACCGGGACCGACACAAATTCGGGCTTCGCGAGCGGTCGCGAAAGGAAACTGAAAGTTCCAGGATAGACTGAAGACTACGAATCCTGCATCCGCAACATGCACCACAATTTCTGACATCAAAATTCTCAAGGACCCGAGCCTTAAAGGCTTAACAAAAGTGGGCTCCAGCTTTCTGATTCCGGTTGAGCGTCCCAATGTCCTTCTGGTTCTAAAGCCGCTTCATCAGGCTTAACTACGACGGGTAGGTTTCGAAACATGACTACCTGGATTCACTCAGCCGTAAACCCGTTCGCACTTCAGGTTAGTGGCGCTTTCAGCACGGGGCTGGACGGTGTACCCATGGGAGGAATCCTCTCAGCACCTCGGAGTTCTACCAGCTTCGTCTACAAACTTCATGCGCGTCGAGAGGCCGATACTCGAAACGCTGACCCCGCAGCTCTTCTTGCCAACGGATTCCAACTTAGCCTCGGGCTTTTGGGCTCTTGCATTCCTTCGGCATCCTCTTGGGTCCTAGGGTTCGCGGTCTGGGCTGTGCAACAGTTTGCTGCAATGCCTCTCTGAACCCAAATCACAAGCACAGAATGCTATGAGGCCGTAGCTGCCTCGCTCCTCAGAGGTACCCTGGTCCTCAGTCGACGGCCTGGGAGAGGAGGACATGCTAGCGGCTAAGCAGGGTGCACGAGACTTGGAAGTTCGTGTGCCGTGCGTTTGAAGCCGGCCCGGAGCTTCTACAGAACGGAGAAGGTTCTGACCCTCAGCGTCCATGCCCAATCTTGTTTTGGCAGGAAATCCTTCAATGCAGATGCCGCTTTCGAGCACAATCACAAGGATCCCCAGCATATCCTCATGGTCGTTCGGGAAACTGGTGGTTGGTTCTTGCGACTCCTGGAATTGACTTGTCATCAACAAATGTGACGATTTCATTGGGGGGGCCTGGCAGCTGATGATTGCCCTGACAACTTCATAAGCTCCAACGTCAAACATCAGCGTCAAGCCACGCAGGAGCACTACCACGACATGCTGCCTGAATTCGAAAGCGCCTTGGATTGGCATCGGTTGGTCCCGCTGCCTTTGTGTCATTATGCGTACGTGGGCGGCAGTTTCTCCATTGCATGTGGTGTGCGGTGAGAAGGCAATTTCACATAGGTTGGAAGTATTTGTTCTACTTCTGCATGTGTACATCATGCATGCCAGCCTGTGGAGAGCTGGCATCAGGGACTTTGCCTGAAGAAGTTTCCAGAGCTAGAGATGTTTCGATAGCTTACGAGATCCTTCACATCGGCCGTGGGCAGGTGTAAGTTCAGATGTCTGGCAGGTTAGTTGTTGATTGACACGCCGTATCTTGTAATAGCAGTAAGCAACAACGTGTTAATAATGTCGTCATCAGGTGAGCAGTTCTGTGCCGAAAGACTGTGGTCATACCTGGAATCCCATATCAGACATCCGACCCTGCTGGATCCAGGTTGACGGAGCTTTGCTGAGCTTAGCTTCGGACCCCTTCGCACAGCCCTGAAGACGAGCTTCGCGGTAGAGCTCGGGTCGATGTTTCGCCGCATCCTAAGGAAGACTCATCACGACGTTTGCCGACATGCCGCAGGTCGGCACTTTGGTGACGGGCAAGGTGATCGAGCTTATGTCCTCACACCGCTTCTGTGAGCCTTACTGTAAATATGGTCAGGCCCCGAGCAAGCTCCGAAACCCTGAATCCAGAGCCCTGCGCCCAAACTGTACCAGCGGGACAGTCAGACAAACAGCGTTGTTATGACCAGTGTGGTCGTCATAGTCGTGTCTGCAACCATCCCAACAACCAACAGAACAACCACTGAAATGCACCAGTGGCGCTGACACTACTGATAGCAAGCCATGCATCGGAGCAGGTTTGTGACGGCTGTGGCAGCTGCCATGGATGTGTTTGGTACGTCGATGCAGACCCAAGTCGGCCGCTGCCAATTCCGACACGTGGTTGCGAGCTGAGGGTTCTGGGACTCAGGGTTCAGAATCGTGTGTGCCAGCAGGTCAGCCATGCCAGAGGTCCAAGCCTCACCGTTCGGGGTATAGGGCTGTTGGGTCTGAAGAAAGCAGCAATGCAGAAAAAATCCTTCTTGAAGGCATAGTACAGGAGGTGCACATACAGGGGTCGGATGGTCGGAAGTTTACGGAATCCGGACATGCTGACTCACAAATCGCCGAACTGCTTGAATCAAGGAGTAGGCAGCCGCCTGTCCCGGCTCCACGGTTTGCACTATACGGACATGGCCAGGGCTTTGCAGTTGAGGTCTTGGCTGCTTATTTTTTGGGTTTGCTTGGCTTGCAAGTTATGATCTTGGCAATTGCTGGCTCGGCGATGCGAGCCAGGCTTCGACCTTTGCGGCTAGAAGAGAATGTGCGACTTGAACGTGTGGCACAGGGGTCCTCGCATGCTTGCTGCTTTTCTCTCGTGGCGGGGCTCACCGATTGATTCGGGGACTACACAATTTGTGCTATATTGTATTGCAGCTTCGCATCACTCGGCTGGTCCATCCCAGCGGCTGTCTTGTCGTTCGGACCTTGCATCTGAGGTACATTGGAGATATCCTGGCGTTAGTTGAACAAAGATATTGACATTTAGGTCGGTATTGCCTTGCTAATATTCTGGAATGTAGTTATATCTTCGATATGATATCGAAAATCTGATTAAATTAAATTCGATCTTTTATCTAGAACTATAAATATTTTGCTTGAAAATTTATGCGGGTGCGGGGCCTCAAGACGCCATTCTATTCGTTTTGAATATCGGTAAAATTTTGATTTTCGAATATTTCCTATTATACTGGGGATTTTTATAAACTCTACACATAATCTATTCGAGAAAATTTTCTTATTATTTCTTTTAATTATAATTATAAGAATACATTTATTATTTAATTCTTAAATACGGTCGAATATTTAAGATATTTAGATGATTCGGTATTCTATCTTATTTAATATATTTATATTAGACGGGTATATTGATTTTATTTGAATTACGTGATCTTATAATAAATAATCGATTCTAGATGAATTTGCTCTCGGTAAAATTTATTATGAATGGGATAATTTGGTAAATTTTTAAAAATGAAAATAAATAATAAATATATAATTCTTCTTGTTTCTATTTTTCTAATATATTATATATTTAAGAAATTTATTTTTTT